TCTGCTTTAATTAGTTAGATTCTGTTTGTTTTTTTGCCCATTGAAGGGTATAGAGCAGAAAAGTTAAATGAATATATATACATTATTTGGAAAAATATAATTTTATAGATTTCAGAGAGGAAGGGAGAGAGATAGAAACATCAACGATGAGAATCATTGATCGGCTGCCTCCTGCACACCCACTACTGGGGATCGAGCCTGCAACCTGGGCATGTGCCCTTGACCGGAATCGAACCCAGGACCCTTCCATCTGCAGGCTGACGCTCTAACCACTGAGCTACTGGCTATGGCTATATATATAGTTTAAAAGCTCCAGTATGAAAGCTCTAGTATGTTTATTACAGGTGGGCTAATTGATTTTAGACAGATCTGTATATGTGTTTGTGAAGTAGTCCTGGAAGAATTTGTTAGTCAAGGCATTTTTGTTTGTTTTTAGCAGAGAAATTAGGACTGTTCATGACCTGTTCCTGGATTTAAAATGAGCTTTCTTGTGTGAAGAGAGATACTGTTTCTTAGAAAATTTTCTATTTTCACTAAATTGTGTTTTATTCACTGCTCTTTCCCCAAATCCATATACCCCCTGAAGAGACTCTTTAGCCTCACTTTAGCACTGTCCTTTTGGGTCACAGACCCTTTTGGGAATCTGGCAAAAGCTTATGGACATCCCACCTCCAAATACACATACCAATATATTCCCATAATCTACATATAGTATCAGGACACTGAAGTTAAAGACACCTTTGTCCACTCCTTACTCCCTTGAAGTTTATTCACTACTCTAAGGTCAAAAACTCCTATTCTGAAATGAAAGAAGTCTGTTCCAAAAACCAGCATGTGACACCTCCTAGGATGAAGGGACAATTTGGTTCAAAACCAGAAAACTTTTAGAGACTTAATTTGCTATATTTCTCACAACCAGAAGTTTTTAAAAAATATTTTTTTTCAGTATCAGATAATTATAAACAACCCATTCCTCTTCTCCCCCAAACACATACACACTCACCGTGTTTTGGGCTGAGAATGGGAAATGGATCTCCTAGTTTCCAGAAGAAATACATAAAAGTCAGCCATAAGAGACAGGAAAAAAGCAGTCGCTGTTTGTGCACTGAGAAAGAGGAGACAAGACACTGTTAAATAGATACGAGCTAAAGAGCTTGCTCTACTTAAAAGCTATGGGATAACACTAATTCATATTTGGCTGGCTTGTCACTTGGCAAATGAGCGATGGAACAATGTTATTTTTAGAGAAAGCATCCTTACCACTTTAAGAGTTTGGTTTATGGTTGATGAAATTTGGCTGAAATTAAGCTGTGGGCTGAGTTATGGGAGATGATCTGATAGAACCAGAACCAGAACCGTGGCAGGACAAATAACCTAACCGTTTATTCAATATTTATTTTGTGCCAACCCTTTAAGATACTGTGTGTGAGGTGGCCCCAAACAACAGCTCCTGAGGGTCAAACACTCACACAGGCGGATGTTGCTCACAATAAAATAGCCGATGTAGAAAGGCACCAGGAAGACCAGGATCAGCAGAATGACGCACAGGTTCAGTTTCCAGTGGAAGTAACGGGAGCTGCAAGACACGGCAAAGCCCGTCACTAGGAGGGAAGGGGCAGCAGCTGTCATTCTCGTTAGTCTTCCAAGGATCTCTTGCTCTTTGAACTCAATACTGAATATACCCATCTAGCTAGTCAACTAGGCTGTTACTACCTGCTCATTTACAGAGTGGCCATAACGACCAAACGACCGGTCACCAGGAGGTGCACTGATGGGTCTCGCGGCATGGCAGGTCTCAGTATTGTGGCGCGGTGGGGGTCAGTCTGGGTCCCGCTGGCGCAGCGGGAGGGAGTCTGGGTCCCACTGGTGTGGCGGGTCTGGGTCTCGCGTAATTTCGCGCGCTGGGCCTCTAGCATACAATCATCTTAACCTCTTAAAATTTCACTTATTAAAATGAGAATGTTAGTGTTTTAGTTATATTCATAGACAATGTATAACAATATATATGAACATATATTATTACTGGCACATTGACTATTGTCTCACTCACCACTGGGAGTCTTATTCTAACATGAGAATTAAAAAAATGTTAACAGTAATGTGTACTATAAATACTCAGAAATACTTCTTCTGTACCTTGTGGTACAGAACTAAACATCTGATTTGCATGACTTTAATTACTGCATCTAAATATTTTATTAAAATATTTTAGAATTTTTATAATCATTTTATTGAGATATAATTCACCACTTAAAGTGTACAATTCGCCCAGCTGGTATGGCTCAGTGGTTGAGCGTCAACCATAAACCAAAAAGTCACAGTTCAATTCCTAGTCAGGGCACACGCCTGGGTTGCGGGCTCGATCCCCAGTGTGGTATGCAGCTGATCAATGATTCTCTCTCATCATTGAAGTTTCTATTTCTCTCTCCTCCCTTCCTCTCTGAAATCAATAAAAATATATTTAAAAATAAATTTAAGAAAAAAAATAAAGTATACAAGTCAATGGGTGTTAGTATATTCAGAGAGTTGTGTGACCATCACAATTAATTTCAAGCGTTTTCAACTCTGCACAAGGAAATCCTATACCCATTAGCAGTCACTCCCCCTTCTTACCACCTTCCCAGCCCTAGGACACTTTCTGTCCGTACCAATTTGCTATTCTGAACATTTATTAGAAATGGAATCGTGTGATATGAGGTCTTTAGTGACTGGTTTCCTTCACTTAGCATAATTTTTGTTTGTTTGTTTTGTTGATCCTCCCCGGAGGATATTCTTTCCATTTTTTTTTCAGAGTGGAAGGGAGGGAGGGGGAGAGAGAAACAGTGATGAGACATGTCAGTTGGTTGCCTTCCACTTGCATTCCGACTGGGGCTGGGGATTGAACCTGCAACCCAGGGATGTGCCCTTGACAGGAATTGAACCTGAGACCCTTCGGTGCACAGGCCAACACTCTAACCACTGAGAATACCAGCCAGGGCCACTTAGCTAATTTTTCAAGGTTTATCCATACTGTAGCACCTATCAATACTTCATTTCTTTTTATGGCTGGATAGTTTTCATTCCATTGTACAGATAAACCACATTCTGTTTATCCATTCATTAGTTGGTGGACAGTTGGGTTGTTCTTCTTTTTAGCTATTATAAACGTGATGCTATGGACATTTGTGTGTAAGTTTTAGTGTGAACATATGTTTTTATTTTTATTAAATACCTAGGAGTGGAACTACTGGGTCATATGATAGCTCTGTATTTAATTTTTTTTAAAAATATATTTTATTGATTTTTTTTACAGAGAGGAAGGGAGAGAGATAGAGAGTTAGAAACATCGATGAGAGAGAAACATCGACCAGCTGCCTCCTGCACATCTCCCACTGGGGATGTGCCCACAACCCAGGTACATGCCCTTGACCGGAATCGAACCCGGGACCTTTCAATCCGCAGGCCGACGCTCTATCCACTGAGCCAAACCGGTTTCGGCATAATTTTTTAAGGACTACCACTGTTTTCCAAAGTGGCTGCACCATTTTAATTCTCCCTGCAGTGTATGAGGGTTCCAATTTCTCCGTAGCTTTGTCTACACTTGTTACTGTCTTTTTTGTGTGTGTTAATCCTCATCCGAGGATACTTTTTCCATTGATTTTTTTAGAGAGGGAGGGAAGAGACAGAGAGAGAGAAACATAGATTGGTTGCCTCCCATGTGCACCCTGACCAGCGCCGGGGATTGAGCCTGCAACTGAAGTACGCGCACTTGGTCAGAATTGAATCTGAGACTCTTCAGTCCACAGGCCAGTGCTCTAACCACTGAGCAACCTGGCTAGGGCATTACTGTCTTTTTGATTATAGCCATCCCGGTGGGTGTCAAGTGGTATCACATTGTAGTTTCTTTGATCTGCTGTGGAATATCTTTTCATGTGCTTATTGGCCTTTTCATCTTATTTGGAGAAACGCCTAGCCAGATCCTTTGTCCATTTTTTAGCTGTGTTATTTGCCCTTTTATTACTGAGTTGTAAGAATTTTTATATACCCTAGACAGAAGCCCCTTTCAGACATGTGAGTCCCGTATACTGTGGACTCTTCCAGTCCAGGTCGGTTTAGGTTTATTCCTTTAATTGTTTGGTTTTGAGTTAGGACTGTAGCAAGTGCTATCACACTCTGCATTCCCAGACCACAGGCACCCAGATCTAAGTTCTCTAAGGATGAATTAATTTGTAGCATTGCAGCCAAAAACATCCCACCTTTATTTTCAATCTTGTTTCCAGTCATTCTTTTATTTTTGTAAAGAGTTTTAAATAAATTTCTAGAGAGAGAAACATTTGTGTGAGAGTGAAACATTGATGGCTGCCTCCGTACTCAACACATGCCTGGGTTGCGGGCTCAATCCCCAGTGGGGGGTGTGCAGGAGGCAGCCGATCCATGATTCTCTCTCATCATTGATGTTTCTATCTCTCTCTCCCTCTCTCTCTCTGAAATCAATAAAAAATATATATATATATTTTTAAAAAAGAAACCCTTAACTAACTTGGAGGAATTCTGATCTTCTCAAGTAGAGATTTTTCAATCACCATCACCATGTGGAAGGCCGTTACGGGAATTCAGTCAGGAACAGCTGAGAAAAAGTAAAACTTCTAGGAGTGAAGCCTCGGTAGGACGAGGCTCTTAGAAACTTATTCTCAATTAATATCTCAGAGCTAATGGTCAGACTTTTCCCTGCTATTTCACAATCTTTGTCAAACCAGTTACTAGGTGGTTGACACCCATATTTGGTGTTGTTATAGCACTGAGACGGAACTACCCACATGGTGGATTTTTTCAGCTACGGGATCCAAGAAAGTCATTTACTGCAAAGAAAGTCACACGGGTCTCTTCAAGAGGAGAGCCAGTTAATACCCTACTCACCTGCTATTCAGCACGCCTAAGATTTCAAAGATGATGAGCTCAAACATGGTGCAAGAAAATGCAAAAGTCACCGAGAAGATCACCTGTACGACATACTGACGTACCTGTTAAAAGCCAAGCAAAGACTGAGGGTCATTTTCTTGTTTGAAATGCTGAATTGATAATCTGGTTATAAGCCAGAAAACTTATTTTGAAGAAATTCTCAAGTCATTAGAAAGAGGGCCACAAAAGTAACTTGCCTGGAGCTAAAGAAATAGATGAAAGTAGGTAATGGGAATGCAGATTGGTGTACCACGTGGAAAACAGTATGGAGTTTCCTCAAAAAATTATAGTGCAGTGAAGGCCTGGGGGAGGGGATGGGAGCAGGGTACAGGGGGTCAATGGGGTGGGGGGAAGGGGGACATCTGTAATACTTTCAACAATGAAGATAAATTTAAAAAAATTAAAAATGGAACTCCTTTTTGACCCAGTGATCCCATTTCTGGGAATATATCTGAAGAAACACAAAACACTAATTTGAAAGAATATATGCACACCTATGTTCACTGCAGCACTATTTATAATAGCCAAGATTTGGAAGCAGCCAAAGTGCCCATCAGTAGATGAGTGGATAAAAACTGTGGAACATCTACACAGTGGGATAGTATTCAGCCATAAAAAGGAACTCTTACTCTTTGAGACAGCATGGGTGGACCTGGAGAGCACTATGCTAAGTGAATAAGTTAGCAGAGAAAGACGAATATATGATTTCACTTATTTGTGGAATCTAATGACCAAAATAAATATTAAATATATTTACTTAATATATATTTAATTAAATACAACATACAAGATACAGAGAACAACTGACAGCTGTCGGAGGAAGAGGGATTGGGGGGCTGGGTGAAATAGATAAAGGGATTAAGCAATAACACCTCCCCCCCCCACACACACAGACCACCCTCATAGATACAGACAGCAGTATGATGATTACCAGAGAAAAGGGGGATGGTAGGTAGGAGAGCGTAGAGGGAGATAAACAGTGACAGAAGTAGACTTCGGGTGGTGAACACACAATATAATTTACAGACGAAGTATTATAGAATTGTACACTTGAAACCTATGTAATTTTATTACCTAACATAACTTCAGTAAAATATATTAAAAATAAACTAAAAATTAAAAAAAAGGAAGTAGGTGTACTTCTGAATCCTGGGTCACTATTACCATCCTCCTCCTGCGGAGGGAGAGTTTAAGGATAAGAAAGTGAAGTGACAGGGTCACAGCAGCACTTAGAATTCCTGACACGGACAATCAAAATGGCAGATTTATGTCCAAAGGTTAGAGCTAAAGGGTTTCTCCAATGCTCTGCAGACCTTGGGCCAGTTCTGGACCCTCCCCGGGGCGGCCTTAAAGTCTTAAGCAGAACAGAAACTCTAGAATCCCGGGCTCTTTCAGACAACAGCCCCATCTCACGAGGGAAGGTTAACGGAGAACAACCTAGGAGTGACCTCACAGTAGTCTGTAACCATGGAGCTTTCACTAAACGGGGAGGATCGATTAGGAAAAGTCCAGTCGAGGTTGGTATTTTTCTGGATTCAGTGATTTTGGTATTAATTTAGGAGGTAAGATTGGTCATTAATACTGAAGGTCAGATACCCAAATGAACAGGAACATTTATGAGACATAAGTTAAATTCTCTCCCAAAGAATAACTGTTTGCTTTTGGTGTGCACACTGATGTCACCAAGGCGTGGCATTTCTTGTTCCTGGCTTCTTGGCTATATACACGACTTGCTTAAAAAAACAACACACACACACACAAAAAAAACAAAAAAAAAGCCAACTAAGCCTAATCATATTCTCCAAGTTAAGAATTGCATAGGACTCATTTGACAAAAACTTCTATCTTGGAAGTGAACATGACTTTTTTTTTTTTTTTTTTTTTACCTTTCTCTGTCTGGTTTATTTAACATGACCTTTTTTAATGGAGGTATTCTTTCTGCCCCATTTTAAAACAATTTAAATTCATACAATATTAGCATCATCAAAATGATCTCTTCTCACCTCGTAGTCCTTAAACAGTTGGCGCATGAAGAAAAGCCACCCAAATCCAAAGAAAAGTATCTGAAGGAAAAAGAAGATAGAAAGTCAGTATACATATCTTTTGATAAATGCCTTATATACAGTATTTTATGATAAAAGGTCTGCTAAATAGATAGTTTATTTCAGATATTAAAGATGAGATCTACTCATAAAAGATCTATTTACTGAAATCCTCAACATTAGGAGTAGATATTAAAATACTCTTCAATCTTTGAAATTATCCATGTTTTAGAATGTGTTTTAAGTTAGACAAAAATTAAAGCATATGTTTTTCCTGTAATCTTTTTTTTTAAGTTTTCTTTAAAAAATATATTTTATTGATTTCAGAAAGGAAGGGAAAGAGAGATAGAAGCATCAATGATGAGAGAGAATCATTGATTGGCTGTCTCCTGCACCCTCCCCCTTACCCTCACTGGGAATGAACCCGCAATCTGGGCATGTGCCCTGACAGGGATCGAACTGTGACCTCCTGGTTCATAGGTCAATGCTCAACCACTGAGCCACACCGGTCGGGCTATCCTGTAATCTTAATGATAATCCTTTTATGAGCCAGAGAAGTTAGCAAATAAAAAAAAAGTCAGTGAAACTTGCTGTTTTACAGATGATCCCTGTTTGCAAGTATTTAAAAAAACAACAACAAACAACTTCATGGGAAAGAAGTTAAGATTTTAAAAAAAGACCAAGAAAAGTAGTAGAAAGAGTGATATTTTTTATGTTTTCCTTCGTGGGGCCTTCTTAGCTTCTGTACCATCCTCCTAATCCATATGACGTGGTTTCCATCTCAGTGTAAATCCAAGCGATTGCATGATACCACTCTGTCGGTTTGGTTCATCAGAAGCAGTAACCACATGGCA